GGGAACCTCTGGGGAGCGGACCGAGTAATGCGTCACTAATGTGCTCAGCGCGGCCGGCTAACAGCTGGAGACCAGGTTGTGGGAGCGGAGCGCATGGAGCCGCATGGAGTGTGTATCGCAGCTTCCTTATCTGTGTGCTTCAGAGATGAGATTCAGGCCCCCAGTTTTTCGGGGGTTGGGCTCCGCCCCTTAGTTCCAGGGAAGGGAACTCTTAAGGCCTCAGCATACCAAGACATTTTGGACAATTTCAGGCTCCCAACTGTGTGGGAGGAGTTTGGGGACGGCCCCTTCCTGTTCCAACATGACTGCGCACCAGTGCACAAAGCAAGGTCCATAAAGACATGGATGGGGGAGGAACGTGACTGGCCGCACAGAGTCCTGACCTCACCCCCATAGAGCACCTTTGGGATGAATTAGAGGCGGAGACTGCGAGCCCCTCCCCCAACATCAGTACCAGACCTCACAAATGGTCCAACATTCCCATAGACACACTCCTAAACCTTGTGGACGCCTTCCCAGAAGAGGCGGAGCTGTTATAGCGGCAAAGGGCGGAGCCAACCCAATACCGAACCCTACGGACTAAGACTAGGATGCCATTAGAGGGGGGCGGGGCCAACCCAATACTGAACCCTACGGACTAAGACTGGGACGCCATTAAAGTTCATGTGCGTGTAACGGCGTCCCAATACTTCTGGTGATATAGTGTATGTTCCATGCATATATACAGTCTTATAGGGAGAGTTTTGTTTAAAGGGTCTGGTGACAGGGTCTCTTTCATTGCTGGTCTCCAGGGTGACGCCCCCCAATCAATTTCTGAAAAACTTTTCTCTACCACTCCTGAGACCCGGTGCGGTCCGATCAGAATTCACAACTTGTCTCCAGCTTTGCTCTGCTCCCTCCCAGCTCCAGAGCCCACAATAAATCTGAGATGAGCTGAGGATGGAGAGAGATGAATTTCCCCTCCAGCACCACTCAGCCTATTTCTATCTTCTCATCACTCTGCCACTTCCCATTAT